TCCTTTCAAAGAGGAAATATTCTACAATCAACACACTAGTAGTGAAGTTGAACTGAAAGAGCAGATCTCTAGCTTGGAATTGTTCCTGGAGCTTGAAACCAAAGCAGCGGAACCGGTGGGGAGTGTGGAACCAGAAGCAGTGGATCTTTGGCTATCGGGGGACGTTCTCATTACTCCCCAACATCTCGTTTACTGAAGTGGAGTCATTTACCCAATGAGTGTGTGTGCATGTGTCTGTGTGAATGTGTGTTTGTGCCTGTGTTTCCTTCATTTTGTTACAGTTTTGACATTGTGCATATGTAAATCACACATACAAAAAAATAGAGATCTATGATTAATATTTATTAATTTTGAGAGAGATTTATTTGGTGGTTTAGAGGAGGGAGAAGATGAACATTGTTTTTACCCTTATTTGATATATTTTTAAAAAAGTTAACATATTTTAGAAATTATATTAAGATTATTTTTATTGATATTAGGGCCCAAAAATTATCAACTATAACCCTAGAAAGAAATATTTTTGCTTAGAACTCATTCTTCGATTCAAATAGTGATTTTTTCTTGAGTTTCAATCAAATAGTTATGCGTGCTTCGTTAGTAGGACTGTAGGAGTTAGTCTTCTTTTAAGCTATCTAATCCCTCTTGATTAATTCTTCCAAATTAAATGCCAGCCTAAGTAATGTAAATATATATAATTGCGATGACAGAGACGATAGTCTGCTTGGAAACTTGTCCAATTTCATCGTCATGCACTCGGAAGAATTCCCACATATCATTTTCTTCGGGTGGAGGGCGATGCGTCCATAAATCAAGGGGGAGATGTTTTAAAGTTTTTTAAATATCCCAGTCGCGTACTTGAAATGCAGTGTAAACTGTAAACACATATTCATAAATTGGACAGAGTGACAGACAAACAATCAATGTAGCTGAGGCATGCCCAACTGACGATGATGCACTTATTGGATGAAGGCGACTCGGAACTCATTAATAATATGTAGATGGAAGAGTTGAGACTATCCAGTGGGACAACACTGAGATTAAATTCAATCAGGCCGACGAGGAAGGGGATCCAGCTGCCGACATAACGAACATATAGCCAACGATGCCGGCCGGGGACCAGCATTGCATCTGGGTGGATAGACCATGGATGAAGTATATATTCAGTTTCGTGTTGGGAATCAATCCATATGCAAAATCAATCTATTTATCATCAACTCCCTCAAGAAGGAGAAATAATGAAAATCGACAAACTTGGAAAAAATCGGGTGAAAATAAAGTTTGACCCAATCGAATGGATGGCGTAGGAGAAACGTCACGCAGTCTCAAATTCAAATTCTGTATTTACAATTACTACTCTAGTAAATATAAGCATTCATGGCCGAACGAACTTCGAAGTTTACAAAGATAGAGGAGGTGTGGAACAGTTTTTCTTCATATATACTAAGCTCAGCAGTCTATGATAAGTAAATAAGACAGTGAGATCTTGTTTTCCGCTCTCTCTCTATATATTTCTCTGAGCTCGGCACGACAACAGGCAGGACAATCACGGAGACAAGCCACTGTTGACAGTGGGTGCTCCAAGATAGGGAGGGATGAAATAACACCATTTCTATGTATTTTAAAAGTCTCGTTATGGTAATATCGATCGGATGGATTGCTTGAAACAATGTCGTTCACGGAGACGGAGAAGGACTGTCGGTGTCGGGGGGAGGAGTCACGGGGCCGACTCCGTCAATCTAGTTAACCCATTTACTGTTCTTTCCTTTGCTACAAACGATTAACATAAAACAAATCGCCAAAATTCAATTCATTACTGAACGAACGCGGCCAAGTAGTCCCGTTTCCAAAGTCTTCTTGGACCCGATTCATCGAGATCCCTGCCCTTTTTCTTAAATATAAACATCAGTTACACTCACAGTCACTGATCTTTCCAGAATCCATCACAGATTTATACGTGTTTTTTGATTTATATATAATATAATTGCATTCAGACAGTTTGCCTATCGGCAGCTACATTGGACGGTTATGATCATGTCATATGTAACTCTCTCTTGCCAGGATACTGAATGTTGGTCGAAACTTGATCGGATTTTATATATATTCATTTCATGGACTACACAGTCGACACTCTATAGTCTATACAATAACATTGCCTAACACAGTAGACAGGGAAAATATTAAATCACATGTCGTCCAAAATGAGCTGGAAGGGATTTGGTCCGGCCATGGGCCATGGGCCATGGTTCGGTACTTCCGGCATCCTATAAGGAACAGATACATTTTTGTCTGTTCCCACAGTTCACTGAATGCCATGGGAAAGCCAGACCACTTACTATACATACGGTCCAGGCGTCCAGCTAGGCTGCGAGATCTCTCAGAAGTATGGAGATCACTACTCAGTACTCACTGCATAGTGCGGATAGTATCATATTGATTAGCGAAAATGCCCCTGGAGGCCTGGACATATTAAGGAAAAGCCTAGCTGTTAGGGCAACTGGTGTCAATATGTCGTTTCCGCCTTTACGGTAAAGAAATGGACTCCGGATCTCCTGTCCGCGAGACTTTGTCCACGTCTTATCCATCTCTCTGAATTGAGAACATATTCTCTTGCATAATACCATACAGAAGATGAGATATTCTTTATATGTGGTTACGATAAATATGGGCAGAATTCTTGTACACAGAAGATCCAGACTCAAATAGATGCTTGTTGTGCACTTCCTACTTATTTAGGGTAATACCGGAGTACTGTTCGATGCTGCGGGCATGAAACCTCCATCAACTTGGTCCTAGACCATATTTGCAATTTGTGCTATGATATGCTTCTCTCCTTCTATATATACCGTCATTTCAATAGACCAATGATATCAGCAGGATCTTGATATTATTATAAATTACGTGCAACCAAAATCCCAACCATTGGTCCAGGGGACCACAACCACATGCGTCCTCTCTCTAAGTTTTACCTTTCACATTGCATCATAGTCCAAAAGCTTCCGACACTGTAGCAATTTAATGATGGGACCCTCAAATTATTAAAAGGGGGTGGGAGTGAAGACCGGATCTGCTCTCACACCTGACGGCTTACAGGCGTTTCACACACATTCTATCATTAATTCTAACATTTCTATATTTATTTATTATTATTTACGGGAGATATTTCTAATTCACGGTCGATGTGCATGTGAGACGCCCATTTGTGAGGAAAAGATCCCATCACGTGAGAGTGGGACATGCATGGTTGCGAACTTCTCACCATCGGATTAATCATTAATGTGATATGGGAAATAAGATGAAAATACAATTGGAAGATGAATTATGTGTGTAATGTAGATTTCAATCTTTTAGATCAAAATCATTTGATTGGAATATTGATCCATGAGATGGGATTGATACAGCGTGTTGAGGATCTACGCATGGCAATGTGGGAGTGCCCGAGTGCATATTCTGTGAATCGGGATAGAGGATTCTTGTTGGAAGGTTTTACATGTACCTACACGTCATAATGTAAATTATGATTCCATGTAAAGTGTCCAGTCCACTAATTTCCACAGCTGAGTCTCCAACAGCGCAACATATCCACCAGTCTTTACCAGCTTTTTTTGCGTAAAAATTGAATTTTCCGCAGTTCTTTCCCTCTCATTTTCAAACAAAATAAAGAGCTCCGGATCTTTCCCTCTCATTTTCAATCAATTGTGAATTTGTGACTGGTTCAGTGGGAGAATAGAAATAGAATGAACAGAAAAGGAAAAAAAAAAAAAGAGGATAAGAAAGAAAAGTAAGAATGGGATAAAATAAAATTATAAACAGCTACTTGTTGGGGAAACACTAAATAGAGCAGAATCGATGCTTTCAAGGGAAGTTTTTATTCAATTAAAACATAAAATAAGAAATTAAACAATAAATAGTAGGAAAACTATGCGTTAATGACTCCATCAAAATGACAACTGAGGTTTATCTGATCTAATCCCGATCACATTGCAGTCAAAATCAAATGGTTGCCCCACCCGAAAACAATAAAACAGAGGAAGTAATCTTACTTAATATTTATCAATTTGGTTTATTTAGTAGATTGTGGTTTACCTACTATTTAGCAGTAAACAATATTATAGTTGAGAAGCAATGTGGGGGAGCAGATGAACTAAGATATTATAATATACATACACACACGCAGAGGTTGATTAATATTCCAACTGTGTTCGAGATTAGTTCTTGGACCTCGAGTTGAGCAGAGTAGGTCTAAGATTTGGTAACCCGAAAACACGGCATAAAGTACCAACTTATCTAAAATAAGCGGCTAAGCGCCTTACCATAATCAGAGATGATGGTGGTTCATAGCCCGACCCGCCAACCCATTACTAGGTTTCTGTATTTGATTTGCTGATCCAGCTCCAGCCCACACGCAGTACAAACTACAGATTTGATTTTGAACTCCTCCTATGAAACCGTCTTACTTTTTAGACCGGTCCAAGTATCTAGGTTGGTTGTTGGCTGTTCGCACTTGTAGTCCATGTCAGCCAGATCATAAAATAAAAATGATCCAGCTAACTGTCCAGTGGTCTAACCTCGTCCCCCTTGCACGGAGTAGTAAATGGAAGAGAATAACATCATTCTTTACGTGGCAAACAAGTGAGCCACGGTCGGTGCTTGAATAATCACACAATTTACTGGAAGATGCCGGTTGTCTGTCGTTGGATGCCCAGAAACTTTTGATGCGGACTCCAACATCACAACATGGTTAGGTAATATTAGTTGAGGGGGAAGTCTAATCGGATCTGGATCCGAATAATGCCCCACTTTCCACTCTAATGTGGCAAATACGCCATTCCATTTTTTTCATCTTCTTTTGCTAGTTTTTTATAAGAGATATATATAAGTATGCAAAGGCTAACAGGGGAGAGCCTGGAAAGTTAACGACGGTGAGCTGTGGACTATAATCATTTATTTCCAGTCAAGATTTAATTATACTAGTGGAGCAGATCGGGAAGTCTGTTCTGGTACTGGTGAACTGTTTCTGTACGCTAGCAATTTGTGCAGGCTTATTTTTAACTATTTCTCTTCACATGGTCTTCCACATAATAATCTCACATTAGTTCCAACTCGACCAAAGGAGGGCTGGCTCGTTGGTGTATTAACTGGTTTATTCCAGCATTGAGCGGAATCAAATCCCGCGACCCAGCACCTTGGAGAAAAGGGGTCAGGGGAAGTTATTATAATGGTGCATAGCACCGGATACCAAAAAAAAACACAAGTCTCAGCTCTTAACCCATTCTTTGTTTCTTGTAAATCCTTAATTGATTCGGTCACCCTACATTAGTAGGAGTAGGTGCCATCCACTCTCTCTCTCTCTCTCTCTCTCTCACCTGGTTTTGAAGGAAGGAGGATGCATCGGTATCAGTTCGAGAAAGCATGAGTTGCAGAAGCAGTGGACTCCATTTCTTGTGGAGAGTCTGGAGACTTACTCCACTTGTTTTTCTTCTTCTGGCGTTTCAATCTCTTGGGCTTAATACTGACGGAATTCTCTTGCTTTCCTTCAAGTACTCTGTTCTCAGTGACCCTTTGTCTGTTTTAGAGAGCTGGAACTACGAAGACCAAACTCCGTGCTCATGGAACGGAATTACTTGTGCCGGATTCGGAATACCCGGCACCGGCGATACATTTCGCGTTACCCGCTTGCATCTCCCAGATAGTCAGCTCCTAGGTTCGATTCCGCCCGATTTGGGCATGCTCGAGCACCTCCAACATCTTGATCTCTCCAATAATTTCCTCAATGGGTCCCTTCCAACCACGCTTTTCAACTCATCTGAGCTCCGGATACTCTCTCTTTCCAACAACGTGATTTCCGGCGCGTTACCAGAATCAATCGGAGGACTGAAGAGTCTTGAATTCCTCAACCTCTCCGACAATGCCTTAGCGGGAAAGATTCCTCAGAACCTCACTGCTCTACAAAATCTCACGGTCGCTTACTTGAGCAACAATTACTTTTCGGGTGATGTTCCGAGTGGTTTCAAAACCATTCAAGTCTTAGATCTGTCCTCCAATTTGATTAACGGGTCGTTGCCACCAGATTTTGGTGGAAACAACATACGTTACTTGAATCTTTCATACAATAGGCTCTTTGGACGGATTCCGCTGGAATTCGCGAAACAAATTCCAGGGAACGTCACACTTGACCTCTCGTTCAACAATCTCACCGGAGAAGTTCCGCAAGCCGTACCTTTTCTCAACCAGAGAAAGGAATCTTTTGCTGGGAACCTGGATCTGTGCGGGAGACCACTTAAGAACCCCTGTGCGATTCCTTCCATGCCATCCACTCCGCCCAATGTCTCCACGACCACTTCTCCTCCTGCATTTGCAGCGATTCCCAAAACCATAGAGCCTGCTCCAGTCACTGGATCACCTGGAGCGGCTAATGATACTAGTCAAAAGCAAGGGCAGAATAGCCTGAGACCAGGAACTATAGCAAGCATCATCTTTGGTGATCTAGCAGGAATCGGTATTCTAGCCATGATTTTCTTGTACATTTACCATCTAAGGAAGAGAAAGAAGAAGGTGGTTAGTAGTACAGGTAGTTCAGAGAAGAAAGATGAAACGGGAGGGAAGGAGAGCTGGCCGTCGTCATCATTTTCAACGGAACCGAAAGGACTGGCATGGTCGTGCCTGGGAAAGAAAGGAGGGAACAGCGAAGAGACGTCAGAGGCGACCGGCTCGGATAGTGAGGAAGACGAAGAGGAAAAGGTGGAGCAGGAGCAGCAAGATCAGCAGAAAGGAGGAGGATCTCTTGTGACGGTAGACGGAGAAACAGAGTTGGAGCTGGAGACTCTGCTCAAGGCCTCGGCTTATATACTAGGAGCAACTAGTTCGAGCATAGTGTACAAGGCGGTGCTGGAGGACGGAACGACCCTGGCTGTGCGGAGAATCGGTGAGAGCGGTGTCGAGAGGTTCAAGGATTTCGAGAATCAGGTCAGGCTCATAGCTAAATTGCGCCATCCCAATCTGGTACGCATACGAGGGTTCTACTGGGGTTCCGACGAGAAGCTCGTCATCTACGATTACGTCCCTAATGGGAGCCTCGCCAATGCCAGTTACAGTAAGCCATTTGCTCTCTCTCTTCAAGCATATTTGCAAAATTTCATAAGTTGTAGTAAAATACAAAAATATACGGGTACGTGTGATCTCTATGTTGATAAATGAAATCGTGAAACTTAGACTTAGTTCTCAATGCACGGGAAGTCAACTGTCCTGTCCGTGGTCTGCGAGGCTTTGCAAAGCCTATGGCGAGTCTTTGCTTTCAGGGGATCCCCGTCGGAATGGATGAAAGCCTTTGCCCAAAAGCATGTGAAACGCCCACAATAGTGTCGCTTCCCGTGAGAGAAGTGTGAAAATGAAATACCAACATTGGTCATTTGGTTGATAATTTGATACTCTGTTCTCTACTGTGTTCCGATTTGCTTGATCATTTGAGCTTTTCGAGACACAACATTCTCCTCCTCTGTGGCGGTTGTGGCCATATCTCTTGAGCGTAATGGGGCCTGAACAGAATTGCTACCGGCCGTCTCAAGTTTATTAAACAAAAAGAAAGAAAGAAATACCGAAATAGACGCTTATTAAACAAATATTTTGTGTCATGTGCAGAGAAAATGGGGTCATCACCGTGCCGCCATCTACCTTGGGAAGTGCGGCTCAACATAGCAAAGGGAGTGGCGCGGGGACTAGCCTATCTCCACGACAAGAAACACGTACACGGAAATCTGAAGCCAAGCAACATCCTGTTGGGTGCGGATATGGAACCCAGAATCGGAGATTTCGGGCTAGAAAGGCTGGTGTGGGGCGGAGACAGCAGCTACAAGAGCAACAACGGCTCCTTCCGCCATTTTGGAAGCAAGAGGTCCACTGTATCTCGCGATAGTTTTCAAGACCTTCCAACAGGTGCCAGCCCCAGCTTATGCGGATCCCCCTATCAGGCACCCGAGGCGCTCAAGAGCCTGAAGCCCAATTCTAAGTGGGACGTTTTCTCGTACGGGGTGGTGCTGCTTGAGCTGCTGACAGGGAAGGTCCATTCCGACATGGATTTGGGGCTTTGGAACACGGCGGCGGTGGACGAGAAGAACCGGATTTTGAGGATGGCTGACGTGGCAATTCGAGCTGAATTGGAAAGCAAGGAGAAGGAGGAGGCCTTTGCAACCTGCTTTAAGTTAGGGTACGGTTGTGCGTCCGCACTCCCACAAAAGAGACCCTCCATGAAAGAAGTGGCTCAAATCCTCGATAAGATGCCATCTTCTCCTCATTATTATAATCACTAACGTTAATCCATGGAGGCCCCGTTCCCAGCCCACCGCCCCACCAATGCAAAGATATGACATATGGGCCATGCAAACTTCTCTTTAACTAGAGAGTGAGGGATGAGTGTTGTATGTACGATTGACTAATTGATTGTTAATTAATGTAAGACAGATAACTTGAGATGGTGATTGATGGTAAGATCGTTCTATGATTGTCCGCCCGTACGCACGAGAGAGAGAGAGAGATTGTTTTCTGCAGTGTCGATTTGTCCATTAACTTTGTAATGCTAAGGACTAATGAGACAGGACCTTGATGTGTAGTTAATTAAAGAATTTGAGGGCTATGTGGTTTTATTTCCTTTTCCGGTAAGCCTCTCCTCTTGGCTTGGTTGCACGTAATGTGTGAACCGAGTGGTGAGAGCACACTAATTAGTAAGAATTTGAGGACTCAAGTCTTCATGTGGCTTCCCTTCTTTTTATGGTTGTTGTAGGGAAAAGAATCAAAAGATGTTGCTGAATTTTGACTCCCTCTGATTTAACCAATGTGTTGTTCTTTTTGCTAAAATACCCTCCATTGTCTCACCTATTTACCAGAGTAATCGTTATTAGGAACAAATTGCATTATGATAATAGGTTGGTTGTGAGAAGATGGAAGCTTTTCCAAGAAAATCCTCCAATTTTGCGATGATGCATGCAAGCCATATAGAGAGATCCCTTATCACTGCCACGTGTCTAAGTAAAGAAAATCGTGGTTCACAAACCACAATAAAACAATGCCTAGATCAAATATCAGCATTCAGCACAGCTAATTAAATAAATGATCCTGTAATATGTTTTTGAGTCCATTAAAGTTAGCCTGGCTCTATGGAACAGTGAATGATGGTGGGTCCAGACTCTCTATACATGAGACACATGGCAAAAAGTTGAACAATTTTGAAAAGACAAAGTACACTCAACAGTGAACACTAATCTTCCTCATTAACGCACTATTTTAATTTGCAATGTGGAATGAATTTGCTTCATAGTCGTAGCTAGTCCACTTGGGCCAAGTGCAAACAAACAAACGGGCTTCTTCTTCATTGAGCAGGGGGTTCAGATTTATCATACGGATCAAATTCACACTATTTTAAATGGAAGTTCACATCAGCGCCCCATAGAACATCCCAATCGTGTATTGCGAACATCTCACAATCATATTTCATCATCTCTGGGAAATGTTTTCAATACAAGGTTGGAGGTGCTGTGGAGCGTTGTGGGGCGCCCCCTTGTGGGGGGCTGATGTAAACCCTTCAAATGGCCGCATCGTGATCAATTCATAATGACAAGGCGAAGAAAAAAGGAAGCGGATGTGAAAGGCTGATATATAATACCTTCCATAAGCCCTTTCCTCTTTTTTTTTTTTTTCCTTTTATTTGTCAGTTACTTGGTTTGTTCCTTCCCTCTTTACCCTTTTATTTCTTACCTGAAAGTTCAAGTACATCTTAGGCCTGGCCGAGAAAGACACCTTCAATACCAACGAATGTGTATGGTCAATTTTGCCAGGAATCAAATCTGATCCTGAGTCCACAAACAAAATCGTCCGGTGAGCTAGGTTTTATACTTTTTTTCAACCCTGACGTAAATGCAAATAACCAGAGAAACAGTAAGTTCAGCACTGATCCACCAGAATTAATTGCACCTAACTCGGCAACCGATTAACCCCACTCCCAAAAAACAAGGTAACTGGATTGTGAATCCATTTACAAACAAGCCACAGAACTATCTAGGAAATTAAAGAACTGCAACTTGTCTTAGTAGAAATTAAAGAAAGCAGTTGGGAAAAGTGGAGATGATGAAACGAAGGAAAAAGAAAACAGAAAAGGATTTGCCTTCTAAAGCACCATTGAATGAAAATGCATTCATATATTTTAGCAAGCAGAAATAGATTTTGGGCATGGCCTTTTTTGCTCCCTTGAGGTTTATAATTTTATTTTTTATATTTTCTGGTTAGGGTTTTGCATATGACTGATTTTTTAATTTTTCTGTTCCTTTTGCTGAAAGATAATTAATTGCTCCCTCATTTTCCTTATAAAATAAATAAATGAAACTAAAAAAGTAGTGGTTTACCATACTCCGCGTCAACGGACAACGGTCTTCCAGTGGAAACCCCCGTGATTGACTAGGAGAAAAAGGTCAACCACACAGGTTTGATCGGGCAAGTTTAGTCTGGATTTGGGTTACTTGAGTCTCTTCGATTGAAGCCCAAACTGAGTTTAGGTGCGGCCCAAATTATCAGACAAAATTGATACAAAGTCCAGGAATGTCCCACGTAAGATACAGCCCATTGATCATTGAACGATGAAGAGCGCGACTATGCGAGTTCGCATCCTGTGCGTGAACCTGCCAACCGTAAATGTTAAAAAGGGTAAATTTCTTAAACTACCCTTATGATTTAGTTAATTGATTAAGTGTATTTTTATTATTTGAAAATTGATTAATGTTATTCTTATTGTTTTTGACAATTGATTAATCCTTCTTAATCATTAACATGTGTCAACTAAGATATGAAAAAGACTATTTTACCTTCCACTATAGATTATTCGAATCTCTCCCTCTCCCTCTCATTCTCTTTCCTGGAACTATCGGAACGATGGATGATGACCGGATTTGGGTTCATTGCAGATCTGAGAGATACTCAAATATGGGTTCCTTACTCGGATCTCTCCCTCTCCCTTCTCATTCTCTTCGTTGGAACTGTCAGAATGACGAACGATGACAGGATCTCATATCTGAGTATCTCTTAGATCTCATATCTAGGTTCCTTACTCGGATCTCTCCATCTCCCTCTCATTCTCTTCGTCAAAAACTGCCAGAACGACGGATGATTACTGGATCTCAGATCTCAAATCTAGGTTCCTTACTCAGATCTCTCCCTCTCCCTCTCATTCTCTTCGTCGGAACTTCCGGAACGGCGGATGATGACCAGATCTCATATATGAGTATTTCTCAAATCTCAAATATGGGTTCCTTACTCGGATCTCTCCCTCTCCCTCTCATTCTCTTTGCGGAACTACCAGAACGGCGGATGATGACCGGATCTCAGATCTGAGTATCTCTAAGATCTCATATCTAGGTTCCTTACTTAGATCTCTCCCTCTCCTTCTCATTCTCTTCACTAGAACTGCTGAAACAACGGATGATGACCGGATCTCATATCTGAGTATCTCTTAGATCTCATATCTAGGTTCCTTGCAGATTTGAGAATATGAAAGATACTTAGATATAGGTTCCTTAATCGGATCTCCCCCTCCCTCTCATTCTCTTCGTCGGAACTGTCGGAACTGCAATAGTGGCAACATCGGCAACCATCGGCAGAGTGCAATGGTGGATCTCCCCTATTCTCCTTTTTTTCCTGTGTTTTAGTCAGACCAAGCGGCGGGGAGCAACAACGGATCTCCCCTGTTCTCCTTTTTTTTTCCTGTGTATTTTAGCTGGACCAAGCGGAGGAAGCAGTGGTGGATCTCCCATGTTATCCTTTTTTTCCTGTGTGTTGATGTGCAGATGGAAACCGCAATAGCGGCAACAACGACAACCACCGACAAACAGTAGCATCTGATCTCCCCTGTTCTACTTTTTTTCCTATGTGTTTTAGCTAGACCAACTGGCGGAGAGCAACGACGAATCTCCCCTGTTTATGGTAAAGGAGAGAAAGAGGGGAGGTTGATGGGGAAAGGAGAGAGAAAGAGGGGGAGGTTGGGTGTGGAAGGTAAAATGAAAGAGGGGGAGGTTGGAGGTGGAGGGTAAAATTGGGTTTTTAAAAAATGATATGTCATGTGCCTATGCGTTTTGACGGAATAGTAACAGAACCTAACTGTAAGGGTAGAATTAGTCAATTGTTAAAAATAGTTGGGGTAGTGTTAGTAAATTTTTTAACACTAAAGGCACACTTAGTCAATTAGCAAAACCATAAGGGTAGTTTAAGAAATCTACCCTATTCATAATTCACTAATGTTAAACGCCATGTACCGTTAGCTGAAGAAGTCCAGTTGAACCGGACACAAAAGGACAAAAAAATTAAAATACACCAACAATTACATGGGATTTTCGACCTCTCTCACATTTTTTACTCTGCTCCACTAAGCCTTAGCAAAGTATTTGGGGTGATCTCATTGAGCGCTGAAATCACTAATGGCGGCATGAAATCAACCGGCAGTCATCATCGTATTTTTACCTATGTTGTGATGGATAACCATCTAGAGAGGAGATTCGACCGGCGGTCATCATCGTCATTTGCAGTTGTAGATTCAAGGGGAGGATAACTCTTTTTCATTAGAGCCCTATATTTGAAGAATTGGGCTTTCAAATAAGTGAAGTAAATATGAGCTAATAGAGAATAGATATCTATTTCACCCCTTAGTTGTTTACTACAAGCTTGGATCTGTCGGTGCCAATATTTTAAAGGGCAAATTTGCTAAACTATCCCTATTATTTAGCTAATTGACTAACTATACTCTTACTGTTTAATTATTGTCTTGCACCACCCTATTGTTTTTGACAATTGACTAGCTCTACCCCTACTGTTAATGTCCGCTAATAGTCCATAAAAATCCATATACACATGACACCACATGACACATAATTTTTTTAAAACCCAATATTACCCTCTTCATCTTTTCCCCTCTGGCCATATAGTGCTCCATACTCCCTCCCTGCCGTTAATCTTAACTAGACGATCGTGGCCGTTGGATTGTGGCCACCAAAAGATTTCAGAGCCTCGACAATACCAGAGCCAGAATAGAGCCAAGGTTCAAATCAGAGAAGCTCTACCGCTCAGGCCATATTCTAGTCTCACGGATCCCTTTCTACTGAGCAAGAACAAAACCGATATTGTGAAGAGGTTTCACCACCGAATTAGGGAGTAAATATTAGCAAGAAAAAAAGCCATCGGCTGTATTAGGAGCAACACGACTATACCTTTGGGTCACCATTAGCGGATTCTTCGATATCCGAAGTAGCATGGCTATACTTTTTATTTGGACCATGGCTCTGTTCAACCGGTTGTAGATGGGAGGGTCAGAGGTAGTTGCAGCGGCAATGGTAAGGTCTCGGTAAATTTAATTGGGAGGAAGGAGGAGGGTGGAAAGAAGAGAGAGAGAGAGAGACCACCCCCGCTACTAGAAGTCGCAATGGTGGCGATGTGGTCTTACACTAAAATAGGGGAGATGAGGTCGATGGGGGGATGAAGAATAAGAAGAGTAGGAAGAGAGAGAGAGAGAGAGAGAGAGAGAGAGAGAGAGAGGATAGAAACAAGGTTTAAAATGTCGATGTTGGTGGAAATGTCAGTAATCCAAATATAAAAAACATGTTGGAAATATCAGAAATATCATATGGAAATATTATAAAAATTATATACATGGTGGAAATATAGTAAAATATGCAGAATATAGAATGCTATTTTATGAAATGATAAAAGAAGCATAGACACACCTTTTTAAATTATTATCTTGTTCCAAATCACATACCTACAATATTTTGTTACCAACTTATGTTATACTTGTAATACCATCTCTTGTACTCTATATAGTATTGGTAGTGTTCACTAGCGAATATATCAATTCTAGTAGAATTTCATGTTGCTACCCATAGAAGTGGAAATGCAAATATGTCATGGAAAATATCTCTTGTACTCCATACAGTGTTGGTAGTTTTCATTGGGGAAATGTTGATTCTGATAAAATTTCATGTCGCTACCCATGGAAATGGAAATATGTCGTGGAAATATTAGGGAAATTAGGGACATTTTAAACCATGGATAGAATGGGAGAGAAAAAAGAGAAATGAGAAGAAATCAAGTTAGGTTAGAGGCTTTTCTGCCGATTGGAGAAGATGAACGGAGAAGCTCTTCCATCTTTAGCAAATCTACGCTCATCGAGTTGGGTTTGAGGCTCCTAATCATTTAGGTTTGCAGAAGAGACGCTGGTTGCGGATTGGAGAAGATGAACGGAGAAGCTCTTCTGTATTCAGAAGATTTGCACTCATCAACTTGGGTTTAAGGCTCCTAATCGTTTAGGTTTGCAAAAGATATGCTAGTTGTGTCGATTGGAGAAGATGAACAGAGAAGCTCTTCTGTCTTCAATAGATCTGCACTCATCGAGTTTGGTTTGAGGCTCCTGATCATTCAAGTTTGCAGAATAGATGCTGGTTTTGTCGATTGGAGAAGATGAATGGAGAAGCTCTTTTGTCTTTAGCAGATCTGTGCTCATCGAGTTGGGTTTGTGGCTCCTAATCGTTCAGGTTTTCAGAAGAGACACTGGTTGTGTCTATTGGAGAAGATGAACGGAGAAGCTCTTCTCTCTTCAGTAGATTTGCACTCATCGAGTTGGGTTCTAGGCTCATGATCGTTCAGTTTTGCAGAAGAGACATTGGTTGCGTTGATTGGAGAAGATGAACGGAGAAGCTCTTCCATCTTCAACAGAAAGTGATCCGTTAACCAGACTGAGGGACAAAGACTCTTCATGTACTCTTTCTCCTTATTTGGTGGCGGCGCCAATGTTGGGATTCTTCGCCACTCTAGAGTTGCTGATGGAATGTCGACGCTCTTCCTCCCGAACGAAATCCATTCTTTGTACTCACGAACAAAACTATTGGGACATCGGTGGTCCAAGAAACACAAGTTTGGATTTTTTGCAACTAAAAATCCTTCTTTCATGTCCTCGTCGATTGGTTTTAGAACCAACTAGTTTCATAACTAGTGAAATTGTACAAATTTTTGTACTCAAGAACTGACGGTGTGGAAGAACAGTAACTGTGGTAGTTTGGTGACCTATTGGTGGAGCTTCTCTTGATCGGTCATCGACTTGGAGCTGAAGCTGCTTGTGCCAACAGAATCGAGGAGTTTTTTTACAATTTCAAGCATTTCGATGACTTGATCTGGGTTACAGTGAAGATGATGGGCATGGAATCGGGAAGGAGGTTCCATTTGAGGAAAGATGGATGAGATTTAATGAAAGGGTAAAATTGACTTTTCATCATTTCTATTAGAATTTAATGATGATGACAATTGTCAGAAATAGTAGGGGTGGTGCAAGACAATAGTTAAATAATAAGGATATAGTTAGTCAATTAGCTAAACCATAATGATAGTTTAAGAAATTTGCCCTATTTTAAAAAGTCCCTAGAAAACTCAGATATTGGAAAGTAAGTTTGCATATGTAGTTTTTCTATAATTTGTTCCCATGAGATTCAGAGTTTGGTACTTTTTTTCCTTGGAGAAATAATAGGGAATGTAGTTGTTGTTGAACTATGAAATTGGGGAGATAATAATCGTGCCAACAGAATCAAGGAGTTTTTTTACTGTTTCAAGCATTTTGATGACTTGATCTGGGTTACAGTGAAGATGATGGGCATGGAATCGAGAAGGAAGTTTTGTTTGAGGAAAGATTGATGAGATTTAATTGAAGGGTAAAATTGACTTTTCATCGTTTCTGTTAGAATTTAATGATGACGACAATTGTCAGAAATAGTAGGGGTGGTGCAAAGACAATAGTTAAATAATAAGGATATTGGAAAGTAAGTTTGCATATGTAGTTCTTCTATAATTTGTTCCCATGAGATTCAGAGTTTGGTACTTTTTTTCCTTGGAGAAATAATAGGGAATGTAATTGTCATTGAACTATGAAATTGGGGAGATAATAATCAATAGACTTATAGACTAGACCATAGAAATTAGAGTAAGTTTGTGAAAATTTATCCATTTGTTATTTATCTATCTTCTCCACTCTTATAGACGTTGGAAAAAGTATTAAATCTCGTCTCTCATCTATGCATTTTTTGATCGGTTGGGTGGTTACAAAAGTGTTTTCTGATTTTAATAGGGGTTGTCTTTCTAGATATGTTGATCATATGGAGCACAAGTGGATGTATGATCAGAGACCACATCAGTTTTTGGCGGAATCGGCAAGGCGTTTAATCATTCGCAAGACCATGATAATCTCACTTGTTTCAGCAGCTCCCTCGTTCTAGTTAATATCTCCCTTTGTCTTGTTAATTGGGCACACTCTCATACAAATTTGATCCATAACATCTCCCAATCACATGTGAGACCTCCTCAATTGGATGTGGTTTCTCAACAAAATGTGTTTGCCGTCTCTGATGATAAACCTCACCATAGCTTGACGCACTTTCCCATAATTTCCAATTTTAGTTGGATTTCCGTCGAACTAGAACCAAAGTTAACGATGTATCTCCTCTCTAGATGGTTAGGCCCTAGAGGCGAACTGTGTTGAGATTCATGAATGATTGAATCTCCTTTCTAGATGGTTATTCATCACAACATAGTAAAAAACATGATGATGACCGCATGTTGATTTTGTGTCGTTGCCGGTGCCTTCCGTGTTCAGTGATATCACTGGTGGATGCTTCTGAGCTAGTGCTTGGCGGAAGAGAGTCAAAAATGGGAGGAAGAGCACAAAATGTAAGGGAAATCGATAATCCCATGTAATTGTTGGTGTGTTTTATGTTTTTTTTTGTCCTTTTGTGTCTAGTTCAACTAGACACCTTTAGGCTATGTTTGGTTTGAAGGAAAAAGTAGGGAAAGGAAAGGAAAGGTAAGGTAAGGAAACCTATACGAGATTTATGAAGATTTCCCTAACTTTCCTTTCCTCTCCCTACTTTTTCCTTCAAACCAAATATAGCTTTAGCTAATAGGCAAAGTGCCATTAAATTGGTGAATTTTGAATATGTTGATGTGGGCTTTTCTAGTTGGCGGGTTCATGCTTCTCGTGAACCCTTGGGTTCATAGGATGTGAACTCGAAGAGCGCAAATTGGTTGATGGTCCAGTTGGTAGGCTGTAAGAGTGCGACTTCATTGTTTTGGAGACCTAGGATTTAATCCCATCACCACCAGGATGGGCTACCCCCTAAAAGAATGAATGGGCGTGCGAAGCATGTCTAACATGATCGTGACATTTCTACGTACCTGATAAACTATTGTTTGCAACACATCAAAGGAGAGTTCGTCAAACCCAATCCCAGTTTGAACTCCAAACACGCTTGTGAATAGAGATGGCAATTTGACCCGTATCTGTGGGCCCCCAATCGGGATGGGTTTTTTGACTACTGATTGTGATTCAGGGAAAACCCAAAACTCTTGGTTCAGGGATGGTATTTGTCCACCCCACCTCAACCCTGACCCCAACCCTGCCCCTACTCTATTATATTACATAATATAAAATAGTTCTAGGTAGGTTTCAAAAAAAAAAATAATAAAAAGAATTAATAAGTATACAAGTAATAATCACTAGGTAGGGCGGGGCAAAGTTGAGGATGGGGTTAGGATTTTTAGGCCATGTTTGGGAGTGCTTAAATTAAAAATAAGTGCTTATTCATTTGCATTTGGCACCCAACTTTTTCAAGTTCTTATTTTTTTAAATAAGCACTTATTTTATATTGGACGTTTAATAGTCTTTTTCTCTAAGAAGCACTTAAATACGCATTTGTGACTATTTTGTCCTTCATTTTCTTTCAATTTTTCAAAATATACCCTTTGAAAGCACTTTTATTAAATTATTTTTATAAAAATGCTTTTATGAAAGTATTTTATAAAGCACTTTTATGAAAGCGCTTTTATGAAAACACTTTTATAAAAGTACTTTTATAAAAGCACTTTTACGAATGCATTTTTATAAAAGTATTTATACGAAAGCACATTTAAGAAAGCACCCCTACAAAATTACTTTTACGAAAGTGCTTTCGTGAAAGTACTTTTATAAAATTCGTAAAAGTGCTTTCATAAAAGTGTTTCGTAAAAGTGCTTTTTACTTTTATACTCTTATACTTTTATAAAAATGCTTTTTTAAAAGTACTTTCTTAAAAGTGCTTTATAAAACTACTTTTACAAAAGTGCTTTTATAAAATTCAAGTGGGGATAATTTTGTAAGTGGTATTTTAAAATTCAACTATGGATAATTTTGGAAGAAAAAAAGCTGGAAATTTTGGACTTCAAAAATAAGCACTTATTTCGAACTTATTTCCCAAATACCAATTAGTGTTTAATGACCCAAATAAACACTTATTTTTAAATACTTCCAAACATGGCCTTTCCTGTCGTGGTTCGGGGCGGGAAATTTGAATTCGGGGTCGGGTGCGGGGCAGGCAAAACCCGGGCCCGTCCCGCCCTGTTGCCATTCCTACCTGTGATTGTGATATGTGAAAGTGGAAGCACCTTTCTCTGACAAGTTTTTTAAAGCAGCCCAACGGCCCCAACCTTTTTACTTTAACCAAACTGCGTTCATTGGTTCGGTGGTTCCGGTTCCTCTCTCTCGGTATTTGAATTTAAATAAAGAAATCAGAATCCCGCTCACTCCCACTTTGAACTTTCCCCATTTCACCTTGAAGGGAAAAAAGAACCAAAGAGGAGAACGGAAATCGCAGAGTGACACACCTTGTGAAATAATGACGACGAGTATCGGAATGATGGATTCTGCATACTTCGTCGGAAGATCAGAGATCCTTGCTTGGATGAACTCTACCCTCCAACTCAATCTTTCCAAAGTTGAAGAGGTCTTATTTTCTCTTCTTTCCCCTCTAATACTAACTGGTTAACTCCGTCTCCTACTTATTCAAAAGCATATGCAAATTTAGATCTGATTTTTTTTCTTCTTTTCATTTTTACTAAATAACACATGCGTTTTCTTCAGAAGTCCAAATCTCATTCAGCTTTAAAAGAAACCTTTTTTTTCCCTCATTCATTGGAATCCATCCACGCAGGCTGCATCTGGTGCGATTCAGTGTCAACTGATGGACGCCGTCCATCCAGGTATTGTGCCGATGCACAAGGTCAACTTTGAGGCCAAGAACGAATACGAGATGATACAGAACTACAAGGTCCTTCAAGATGTCTTCAATAAACTTAAGATTACGAAGGTGCGTCACCTTCTCTCTCATTACTTTTATCTCGGACGTTTAAGGTTTTAGGGCTTCGTCGATGATTAATTGTTCTCTCTGGTTTGTGCTCTTAAATATCTGCATATTAGCATATTGAGGTAAACAAGCTTGTCAAAGGAAGGCCGCTTGATAATCTCGAATTCATGCAGTGGATGAAGAGATATTGTGACTCTGTCAATGGACTGCTGAACAAGTAACTTTTCCTCTTTAAATTTTGTGTTCTATCACATGTTTGAAAGTTCAATCGTCCTCATTTATGTTATTATATTCTTTTTTTTCCAGTAGGTTATGAATTCTCGTTTTATTGCTTGTTCCCTATGGTTATAACTATCAAGATTTGTGATTGCAATATCTTAGAGTGCTAGCAGTTCTAATCTACAGTATAGTTATATTGATTGCTTAAAATAATTTTCCATGTTCCTTCAACTGTTCAATTAGTAGTACTCTAATTCAAAAGATGCTATTTAGGTACCAAATTGTTCTAAACATGGCTTCTTGCCTGGGGGCTCGTATAAAAATGGCAAAGATACCATGACTATAGAGATTTTTATACCCCCTGAATGTCAAAGCGTTTTTAAATTGTAACAAGTGCTTTCTGCATTCCAAAAAAAGTCGGAGCTGAGATAGAAGTTCTCTCTTGGTTCGTTTCTTATACATTTGGATTTTCCATGCAGCTGTAACCTGTAAGGAAATTTAGACGGAACCATTTTTAGTTTCAGAACCAGCAAAAATATTTTAGGATTTAATTTTCTTCTTGGTTTTGATTCATGATTTTCTATTTCAGCTACAATCCGTTAGAAAGAAGAGAATCTTGCAAAGGAGGGAAAGATGCCAACAAAAGAACTGCACCCATGCAAGCTTTGGCCAAGTCCTCAACTGCTGCTCCCAAAAGTCAGTCCTCTCACAACAACCGGAGAAGTGATCTTTCCACTGTCAATGCCGCAAATCCATCGATTAAGATTGCTAGACCTGCTTCCAGTGGAGATCCTTCTTATGATAAACAGGTGATTTTCCTCAATAAAGAAGGGAAAAAAATCGGTTTAACATTGAAACTGAATATATCAATCTGAAACTGATGCAGATCACTGAGCTTAAGTTGTCAGTAGATAGCCTTGAGAAGGAACGAGACTTCTACTTTGCAAAGCTGAGGGATATTGAACTCTTGTGCCAATGTCCTGAGATTGAACACTTACCTGTACTATTCTATTCTTGTTCATGTGTGCTCCTATTAAAATGATTTAGTATGATTTAAATAATTCTGTTTGATTAAAAAACAATATTTCCTATTTCCTTTCAGATTGTTGGTATAATCCAGAGGATACTGTATTCCACTGATAACAATGCCTCAGTGGTGGCAGAAGTTCAAGCCATGCTGTCCCAGCACCAGAAGCAACTAGAGCCCTTGAGTCTTAATCCTGAGGCAACAAATGACAAGCCAAGGATGGAGACTCAGAAGAGAAAAAATATATCGACTCTTGAGGTTGATGCTGTTGCCAATTCAACATTGTCTCCCAAACAAAAGATTTCTGATGCCTCTGATGTTCATTGCAGTGGATCTCCCCTTATCAGTTGCTGATAATTCTGCTTGTGTGGAGGATGTTGATTGTATCGGGTTGGCAAGTGGATTACCTCTCCCTCCTTGATCTTGTTTCTATTCCTGATATGAAGTAGCAGATACTGAACCATCAGCACCCAATCCAATTGTTTGTTTGTATGGTGTTCTAAATGTTCAACACCATAGGATCAATCCCTGAGGTCATCCTTTCATTCCCATGTTTCACCACTAATCTATATATTTTCCTTTTTCCTTCATGTGGACCAAATAGCTGTTGGTTACATGATCCGATTGCTTGTATACGCTTGGATACTGCTTGGTTGCCAGCTATATACTACTTGTAGTTCATCTTGTAAGTACATCAGACTTGAACGAGATGGATTTCTCCGAACAAATGTTGTAAGACTCAGACCGGACAAAAAACCGGAATTCTTGCTAGGTTGCAGGTTTCATATTTAATATATATTATATTTTATGTAAGTTATAATTCATTTGAGAGTGCTGGCTAGATGGTTAGCTTATCAATTTTGGTTCCACATCCAAGGTTTAATCCTTGTTTCAAGCATTTTGCGAGAATGCACATGTATTGTGATGAGTTCGAATCTCACTATTGAGGTTTTAAGTTTCGCTGCAACTTGAGCTGGGTTAGCCTTGGGTCGGGTCGGGTTGATGTTTGGGTTAGGGTTAGGATTGAAATTCATAAATCTGGCTTTATTTAAGGTTGGGTTAGGTTGATCCCTCAGGCAATCCATACCTCACTCTATAATATATATTGATTTGTTTAGATGCATGATAGTTGAATAGCCCACACTATATACTATCATGTCTTTTTTTTTAAGATAATCACTTAATGCTAATTGGAAAAGCTAAAACTTTTAATAACATAATATTTTATTTGTCACCCATAACTTTTAAGATAATCTTTTGTTGTTTGTCACCCATAACTCATCCATAAAAGATCTATTATAAGTTATAATTCATAATAAACTATAGTCATTTCAAACACTTATTTTTTTGAATTTTGTACTAATAAAACATATGATTAAAATATGAGATTAAGAAATTCTATGAGATTTTAAAAGATGGGAAGAAGGTTGGATTAGGTTATGATTGAAGGAATTTAGTTAAGGTTAGAGTTAGGATTGGGTAAGTTGGGTTGGATTAGGGTTAGGATAGGATTAGCCTCAAGCTGACCTAATCTGACCTGACTAGCAGCCCTAGTTTCCAAGCATTTATTGACCCAAGTGGGCTGTTGAACTGGTTGGATCGTCAAGACATGGCTGGTTTTCAATGGTTTTGTCGGATTTTGACCATCTTTATCATTTTTTTTTTCTTGTAAGTACTATGAATGGGCCTTATTTTTTCTTTCGTTTCCTTCTTTTTTTTCCTTTGGAAGATATCTTGAGTTTGCTTGGATAGGAGTTATGAATAGGCCTTTTTTTTTCTCTAGCATTCCAGGTTTCCATTGGAAGATATTTGCAATCATGTATCATGTTCTCCATCTTGATTTTTCTATGCTATGTTGAATTTCCATGTAGGCATTTTTTAGTGCAATGGCCAATGGTCTTGCACCGACAAAGTAAGAGAATGTTGATTTGAGTCTGAGAACAGCCACTGTGCAAAAAAAAAAAAAAAATGCAAATGGTTATATCAATATATATTCTTTTTCTGGCCCGTGACTACGTAAGTAAATTGCCCTCGTTTTGCGCTTATTGTTTTGACTTTTGTGTGTAGCCACATATATGCAAGTATGGATGTATGAAAGGGATCATTAACTTCTCTGGTGCCGAAATTTGTGGTCAAGTGGCATATGATGTTTTATTATTATAAAACATAACATTAAAGTCATTTTTAGTTCAATTTATTAATTCTATAACGGGTCACATGACATCACATGTTCAAGATAAACTGAGTGCCAAATGCCAATGACAGGTGTAGATTTCCCAAAGTATTTTTTTTGGTAAATAACATATTCATTCAGAAACTAGAAGCAAAAACATAACCAGAACAGAACTCGAGACTGAGACTACATAGACCTACGCTAATGCAAAGACACAGAGCAAGACTCACCTAATAGCACACACCAGGAAAAAGAAGAGCAAAGAAAACCAATAAACTAAGAACACATAAAAGAGAGAAAAGAAAAGAAAAACAACAGAAAAAAATTACCACCACTGCACCACATGATTAGAAAGATCGCGCACTGGGTCCGAAATTAATCCATTTAGGCATAGCTTCAACAAAACATTCCTGTGAGGAAATCCCATGAGTAGCTAGTTTATGAGCCACCCCATTTGGAGAGTGAGGCACCCAATGATACTCAAAGGATCTGCCATGGATCATCTTCCTTAAATCCAGACAAAAATAAAGTAAATCACAATGACAATTTTCTTCAAAGGCAAATAAGTTGTCTATCAGAGTTTTACAATCTAATTCAAAAACAACCATGGTTTTAAAAGGCTAAAGGTAGAGGTGAGGTGGTTGTGTTTCATAGGGGTGAGGCGTAAACCTTTAGAAAAAAAAAGAAAAGGATATAATCCATAAACAATAAAGACATAAAAATACAAAATTGGGATCTTATATGGCTTGTATAATATATTAGACATGGATTCATGGTGCAAAGTATTCGTACACCCCAATATGTTGAAAGGTATATATTGATTATCGACACTTTGAACCATGCATAATTTTTTTTCATTTTTTTTTTAATTTTACAAGGTTAGTTTTATATTATCTAATTTTTAATTAGTATTTTTTAAAATACCTTAAATAGGGGTATTGGTACCCCAAATATAGAATACAATTTGGGTTAAAACTTTGCCGTTTTTTACTGTTTTTCTTATTCAACTTTTCAATTTAGGGATATGAACCAACTTTGCCGTTAGTGAAGAGTGACCATATATATGATGCATGTGCTTTAGAAGAAATAGAATATCAAATATGAGATAAATGAAAAAATGGGAATTACCAAAATAATAATAATAATAATAATAATAATAATAATAATAAAATGGGTAAGAATAAAGAATGAAAAATAACGCAAACTATTTTCTTACACATTCTTTATGCATTTTTGTGTTATTTGTATGTTTATTTATTTGCTCATTACACCAATACATACAAAACAAGGCTTTTTTTTGTCTTAAATTTATTTTTGCCCCTACGTAAACATTCATATTCCACATTAGCAAATTGAATAGTTAAGGCCTAAACCTTGGATACTTTGAGGCCAAAGGCCCAAAGGCGTAAGCCTCAAATAACTCAAGGCCTAAGCCTTGCTGATGGGGTCTAAGGCTATTGAGGCTAGGCCTTTTTTCATAGCCGTGCCTCAAGGCTTAGGCCTTTGGCCTCATCTCAAGAGCCTTTTCAAACAATGAAAACAACTTCTTCCAAGTTAAAAGCAATAGCAGATTTCGCTGCAATCAAAGAGGATGAAGCTTGAACTGGACCTGCCTTTGCAAAAAGGCAAATACTGCAGAATCTCTAAACACAAAACCAAAAGAAGCTTTACTTGAAATCTTGAAAGCCATCATCCACATTTGCTTTGACAACCTCTGTTCTCGGTGGAGCCCAAAAATAGAACTTGATTTAGTGCTCATATCAACCTATGAAGAGCTTTCCAATCTCAGAGGCAAGTTTTGAGATCTCTCTACTATAAATCTGCTAATAGAGGAGATGGCATCTAAGGGATTAGAGTTAACTTTCTCAAAGTAGATATCTTTGATCCTTCCAAAATTCCCATAAACAAATAGTACAATTAGATAAGATATCTGATTTTTTACACTAATCTCATTTAACAACATCATAAACCAACTACCAAAATTGTTCACATGACTGAGATGATGCAAGTTAATGCCAATGCCTACTCCTAACCAAATGCACCTAGCTTTATCATAGTAAATTAATGCATGGAGAATGGATTCATAATCAAAATTGCATCTTTCACAATTAGGAGATGAGGAATTTTTTCTACAAAACAAGTTTTTCTTTATTGCTATGCTATTCATACAACATTTCCACAAAAATTTAAAAATTTTTGGCTCTATTGGAATCCTCCATAAAGCATTTCATCCTTCATGAGAAATTCTTGAAGGTTGATTTACAGAGTCTCCTTTACCAATGATATCATAAGCAACTGTATAAGTTTACTTGACTGAGAAAAGGCCTTTCATCTTCTGATACCAAACTAGTTTGTCTTCCCATTGATTTTCTACAAGGTCTATTTTCTTAATTTTTTCAACCAAAATAGGAGAGAATCTCGGAGTTCCATTCCCTACAATCTTGCTTTATGAGATCAAAGACCAACTCAGGGCTGACAGGTCCTGGTCTTCTTCTAACAAGTTTTGAATCAAGTACCCCTAGGATCCAATGGTCATCCTTATATTAGAGTCCCTGCTAATTTTCTAGATTGCCCCTTTTCTAATCACTTCCCTCCCTGCAAAACACTCTTTTCGCCCTAGTATTGTCCTCTTCTGCTCTTGGAAGTTAAGAGATACTTATTTGGGAAGTATTTTTCTTTTATGGTTTTTGCCCATAGGCTAGAGGAGTCAAAACACAACCTCCAAGCTAACTTTGAGAAGAGAGCAACATTGATAGCATGCGGGTCTCTGAAACCTTGACCCCCAAATCCCTTGTTCTCACAAGTTTGATCTCATGATACCCATCTCACCTTTCTTTTATCTTCATCATCACCCACCACAACTTCTTTTGAGCCCTGCAAATGCTTTCACAAGTTTTCATTGGCAAAAGGAAACAAGACATGCAATAGGTGGGAATGGCTGTGATTATTGATTTTAGTAATACTTCTTTGCTTGAGAGAGGAGAGCATTCCTTTACCCCTTAGCCTTGTTTGCATCTTTTACAATTAAGTAATCAAAAAGCTGATGCTTCCTTCTATCTATCATGGGAAATGTTCCTAAATAGATTGAAGGTTTGTTTACCTTCCTGACATGGAGTAGTTTCCAATAACCTCTTAAATCTAGGATGCATGTTAGGACTAAAGAAAATTTCGGATTTAGAGTAATTCACCTGTTGGCCAGAGGCTTTCTCATAAGAGGAAATTGCCTCCAACAGTGTTCCTCCTTCCTCTAAATCAACCTTAGCGAATATGTAATTATCATCTACAAAAAATAAATGAGAGATCACTAGAGCTTGTTTTCATATCTTGACACTATATAGTTTTTTTTTTGCTCTGATTAAGCCATTTAACAGAGAGGAGAACACTTCCGAGCATAATAGGAAAAGATAAGGGGAAAGAGAAACCCCTTGTCTTAGTCCTCTTTGTGGCCAAATTTTCTTTGAGGGGGAGCCATTGACTAAAATTTGGTAAGAAACATAGGAGACACATTTCATGATCCATTTCACCCAAATTTGCCTAAAGCCCATATTTTTCATAACTTTTTGGAGGAAGCCCCATTCCACCCTATCATAGGCCTTGCTCATATCCAATTTAATTGATATCCAACATTTTTTGGATTTTGAAATCTTCATATAGTATAAGACCTCATGAGAAAGAAGGATATTACCTATAATCACTCTCTCGGGGATGAAAGCACTTTGGTTCTCAAAGATGATCTTTTCTAATTTCCCTTTTAGCTTATTTGCTAAGATTTTAGCAATTATCTTATAAACAGTGTTGTAGAGGCTTATGGGCCTGAAGTGAGCAACAATCTCAGTTTTTTTTTTATTTATTTTTTATTTATTTTATTTTAGGAATTAAAGTTATAAATGTAGTATTAATCTCAATACTTAACTTTCCTTCCTTGAAAAATTCCCCAATCTCTTTTACAAAGTCATCTTTAATTAGATTCCAAAACTTTTGGTAGAAAAAAATTGGGAAGCCATCTAGCCCTGGGGCTTTCCTAGGAGCCATTCGGAAAAGGGCTTGGTGAATTTCTTCCTTAGTTACCTATCTTTGTAACTCTTCATTATCCTCTTTAGATATACTCGATTGGATATTGTTGATAGCATCATCCACTTCCAATGGGATGGAAGTGGCAAAAATTTCCTCAAAGTAGTCTATAAAGATTTTTTTTTTTTTATTGTGATCCTCACCTTCTAACCACTCCCCATTGTTATTTTTCAACTTCAACACCCTGTTTCTAGCTCTCCTCGTAATTGTTGTATTGTGAAAAAATTTGGTATTTTGGTCCCCATACATCAACCAGTTCACTCTAGATTTTTGAGCCCACATTATTTTCTCTCTCAAAAGAAGCATATCCAACTTTTTTGTTCTGCCTCTTTCATAGTTGGGAAACTAAAATCAAAGCCTTGCTTTCTTTTTTTTCCTTAGCCAGAGCCAACTTTGCCTCGTCAATATCATTTTGCATTTTACCAAATTATTCTTTATTCCACTTACACACCACCCTGCAGTTTTTACACTTTCAACTCACAGACCTATTGCCTTCACTCCAACACTCTCTAATGGTTTCCTCACATTTACTATGAGTGAGCCACATTTCCTCAGATTTGAAGGGTTTTTTCCTTTTGATTTCAATAGGGTAGGTGTTAAGATATATAGGTAAATGATTTGACCCATAAGAAATTTGGGAAAAAATTGTTGCATCAGCAAAGAGTTCCCTCCAACTTGTGTTACAAAGACCTCTGTCTAGTTTAGTCTTAATGTTATCTACTTCCTCTCTATTGTTTGACCAGGTAATCTTGGGTCCATTTGAAGGTATTTCGTCAAGCTCCCATTGACCCAAAGTTAGGGTAGTAAAACTTCAACCTTGAAAATTTAGGCCTTTTTAACTGTCACTATAACTAGCCCCTAAGTGTCACTATAACCAAAGCATAATGTACCTATTTGTAATTTCCTAAAAAGAAATAGGAAGAAGCTAAAGTCCTCCTACAAAACAAGGCCAGACTATTGGATTACTAATATAGCTTGCCAATTGTGAACATCAGGAAACGGCTCACTTGGGTTGGATTTGGAGTCGCCACTCATCATTTGAAGGAATTGAAGGTGATGGGACTTCCGAGAATGATTTTCAAAAAGATATTTTGATCTAATAGTGACTCCAAGACCCAAGGCAATGGTCCAACTAGTTCGGGTAAGACTCAAATGGGAGAGGGAAGGGGTTAGGCATCCTTCTCCCAGATCCAATAGGTGGAGCCCACATGGTAAATCAAACAAACAAGCAGAAGCACAATTAACAAATATTTAATCCATAAAAAACTAACTAATAACAAACAAAGAACAAATCAACATAAAAGAAAATCTTCCTTATTGTTACTTATCTATTATTTATTATTTTTATTTTTGCTCTCTTTTATTATTATTATTATTATTATTATTATTATTTATTGTTTTTATTTCTGATTTAATTAATTATTATTTTTTTTTTATTTTTAGGGTAAATCTCTTAAACTACCCTACTGTTCACGAAATTGACAAAATGTACCCTTACTGTTTAGATATTGTCTTGCGGTACTCTTAAGTTTTCTGACAATTGTCTAAAACCTCCTTTGTTGTTAAATTTTTGTCACACTTTGTTCACGTGTGATATCACGTGAGTGGTAATTATTTTAAAATTCCTAAAATACCCTTATTGTTTGGAAGTTGCAGTGGCCATCGTCACCTGTGACAATGATAGTGCTTAGTCTCCGGGCATTCAGTTCAGATGAGTAAGCCCTTAAATAGTGGTAGTTCTCTGTTCACCGTCAAGAAGATGATTAACATAGATGAAGATGGAGGAAGGAGAAGAAGAGGACCCTATTTCATCACCGTTCCACCTCTTCCCCTCCCTCTCCACCGCTCTCACCCTCTCCGGTATAGTGTGAATCTCACCTCCGTGGGAGAGGTCACTCCCTTCATTTTTACTTCATTGGTCCCCGTAAGCCGTAGCCATAGACGATTGTAACACCATCGGAGTTCATTAACACCCGTCGATCGATAAAATAAAAGAAGAGGAACTAAGAGGAAGAAGAAAAAAAGAAGAATGAACGACTCTCCCATTCCGTAACTCCCAGTAATTTTATATGAAGATGGTTTTATTCGCCCACCCATCAAGCTCCTCTCTCAACAATATATCATCTTCGGTGCGATTCGCATACACGATGTACACCTCTGTATCATCTTTTGGGTCTCTCAAGATTGCTTGGATCACCTGATAGATGGGTGTTATTCCAGTCCCTCTGGCCAGCATTGTGAGCCGCTTCACCAACTTGGGCTTTTTGTGTACGGTGAAGCTACCGCAGCCGGTGTACTCGATGTGTCCCAATGGACCCTTAACATCCATGGTGGAGCCTAGGGAGAGAGAATCCAAGAATTGTGACATGAGCCCTCCATTGGGTAATTTAGGGTTCATAACCTTGAAGTAGACCTTGACGATAAGATTAAAGTAGCCCACTTCGTCGACTGAGCTTGTTGGGGTGTAAGCACGAATGTAGAACTTATTGTCTATGGTAGCGGAAGAGACGGATGTCGTGAGACAGCAACACGATATCAGAGAGATTGAAGTCTTGTAGAAGAGACATCGTTAGTCTATAATAGCTCACTTCCCTACTGGTAATCCCAGGATTTGATTCTTCAACGACAACACGAAGCAGAAGAGATGAACGTCATGAGAGATTGAAGTCTTGTAGATGAGCTTGCATGGAATTTTTTCACACGGTATCAGAGAGCGAGAAAATATGGCGAAATTGACGGCTTCTCCAAAGTCGTGCTCTCTGTGTTGGAAGCGACAGAAACAGGGCAGAGCGGGCTAAGCCCGTTACTAGTTTGTTCTCTGCCCGTGAATGGATGACTTCCTTCTCTGCCCATGAATTTGAGGCAAGAACTGTTGCATTTCCTGGCAAACCCCGCTTACCCATCGGCTCTTTATCTTTCACCAAAAATCTGCCATTACTTTGACCTTGGGCAAGGTGTAGGATGAACAACCACTCCAGAACAAAGAGGCACGGATTTTTTTTCAAGCAAAGCTTTGAATAAATTGGAAACCTTTTTCATCAGTTGGGTTTTATTTTGAAATTTTGATGAATAATGAAGGGCGAATTTGATATTTCATTTCCTTCCATTAGCACTACAATGTCAATTGTCAGAAAACTTAAGGGTAGCTTAAGACAAAATGTAAACAGTAAAGGTATAGTTTGTCAATTTCGTGAACAGTAGGGGTAGTTTAAGAGATTTACCCTATTTTTATTATTATTATTTTTTAATTTTTAATTTACTCTCTTCTCTTTATTTTTATCAACTATGTTTTCTTTTTTGTTATTTCCTCATGAAATCCTATTAGTTTACTTATTCATTTCTTTTTTGTTCTCCTCCTTTTTATTTTTTGTTATCTTTCCTATTGTTATTATTATTATTTATATTGTTTTTTTTTTTATTTTATTTCAAACTTGTTTTGCTTTCTGTAACCGGCTTTCCTTACGTTTCATCCTAACCTGAGCTACTAACAGATGAATTACCCTTTGTTACATTACACCTCCCTTATAATGAGAACGATATAGTGAGAACAGAACTTACCTGGACTGTATATTGGCCTGACTTCACGCAAAGCAACAGGGAGATTTCGGTTAGATTTACTGCAACTACTTGCCTTTGAACAGGGGTGACGATCACAAGACATGGTCAGTAGATTAAGAGGACTAGGGTGAGATTCCAGATGTAATTTTGAACTATGGTTGAGAATGAAATCTCAATTAACAGTTGCTTAGTCGATTTTACGTATATGTTTGGTGATGAGAGTGGATTTGGCCCTCCAATGATATTGTGACACATGGCACCTCAGAACAAATAGGTGATACTCGGAACCACTTAGGCAACAACTTGCCAAGTTGATGGCGTCCAACCTGGCGGCCTGGCCCAGGCGCGGCCTGGCACATGCGCCGACCTGGCGACCTGCGAGACGTGCTCGCCGACAAACTCAACATGCAATCCCCATGATTCTTGGAGGTTGGCCCTTGTTCCGAAAGATGGTCAACGTGCATGGCAGTTACCTCCGAGGATCTCGGGCTAGTTAGACACAACCTCCCAAAGATCATGGGAGCGGTACGTGAGCAAGGCCTATATAAAGGCACCAACTCCAATGACAAGGGAGGGGGGCAAGCAAGTAAGAAAATTCTAGCTCTCATACTGTGCGATTTTTAGCTCGCAGTCTACTATGAAAATACTAAC